AATAGCAAAATCGGCTAATTTTTTTCTTCAAAACGGCTAACAAATCGGCTGCTGACTAAATCGAAATTTCTCCGGCTGTTTGCTATCGCAACCTAGTTTTGCTATCGCATCTAGCCGGAAAACGGCTAAAATGGCAACACTGTTTGCCACTATGGAACTACCGTTGCCTATCCCACTAGCGGATTAGCCGAATATACCGCTAAAAATGTTTTAGGTTATGTACTGTTCTTTTCAAATTTTAATTTTGATACGAGTGTTTATCTCTTCGCGGCACTACCCACTGCTTTGCCCTATTACTCTTGCACGATTTAACGATCGGACGCAACTATGCACCCTGCTAGTACATATGCATGTGGGGCTCACTTCCACTAAACTCCACTTCCACAATATTCGGCGTTCTGCCACTGTTTTGGCGCTGGATATTTTTGTGGTGCGATATGGAGGACTACACAAAACCATCCACCGGCTTTTGCACTATTTTAAATGTTGCTAGTGTTCGCGCACTCAACCGTTTGCATTGCACTGCCACTATGTGGAATATCGAGTTCCACTTCTGGCACCAATTTTTAGAATTGATAGCCGAGTTCTGTGGTTTAGCTTAAGTCTTTTATTAAAAGTTAACACATTAGTTAAACATAGTTATTCGTATATAAAGTAGACTGCGATGCACAATGATTCGGATCGCAAATCTAGCTGGACGAAACTATCTAAACAAATACTCTTTGATGGATTTTTACACCACTTCTTATCTAGGGGCTTTGGAGTCGCTGATTACGAATCTGAAGCCACTTATCAAAAATTCAAAATGGCACACGAAAATTAAAAAAAAGGGCAATTTCTATGAAACTAGATATCTGGGGGTTTTCTGGTTCGCTGTTTACGAATCCAAAGTCATTTACCAAAAATTCAAAATCGCGGATCCAACATGGCAAACGAAATATTAAAAAAATCTTAACCTTACACATATGAAAATGTTTTGCTCAGAGATTATTCTTAAAACCATTACAAATTTGTTAAAAGTTTAATAAAAATATTTCGCTTTATATTTTGATTTTTATTTTCAGTTCACAATAACAATGACTTAGTATATTTTAAAATAATTTTATAGAACAGCTAATTCTCTAATAAAAATAGTCCGTATCATAACTATGCGACACCCACATATTGACGAGTTTTAACTATTTATTTTATTATTATTTAATCTTAATTACTTTTTTCATAAAAATGTAGTTTGTTCGCTATTAAAGAAATTGCGCAAATCCAGGTTTCAAACTTTGTGCAATATTTGAAAAAAAAAGAAACTCAACAAACTTTCGCAAAAATTTCGATGTCTTTAATTAGGTTTCTTAGAAAGATATTGAGTATGCGGTTTTCTAGCCCATACAACTTTAGTAAAATAAAGTGCAAGTTTAAAGTACCTAGGGTTTTTTTTGTTGTTGAAGGTGTTGCTCATATTCTCCATATAAAAAAATCATCGAATATACTTCGTGTGGAAGAAAATGACTAACATCGTCAACAAAAAAATTGCCTAAAATCAACGAAAAGCCGTAGGCACTTCAAACTTGCACTTTATTCTACTGAAATTGAATGGGCTACAAAACTGAATACTCAACCTCTTTCTAAGAAACCTAATTAAAAACATCGACATTTTTGCGAAAGTTTGCTGGTTTTTTTTCAAATATTGCACAAAGTTTTAAACTTGTATTGATATGGTTTTTGTTAAAGACTAAAATTTAAGAACACAGGAAGAAACACAAATATATTTCAGAAAAAAAATGTATAACAGCGTTTAAAGATTTGCATGCCTGTTGTATAATTTTTTAATATCAGAAATCAGAAAACTTGCAAGTTACTATTTTTTTTAACTCTTACATAACCAAAGTTTTGACCAGGGTTGTGCCTGTAAAATATTTACGTTATTTACAATAATTATTAACTTGTAAATAATGTAAATATTTACACGGTGATATTTTTGGTGTAAATAATGTACAGCGTGGCGACGAATAACTGTTACCCAGATATTATTGAGAAATAAGAGTCCTTTATAGATTTTGCGAAAAAAGTATTTTATTGTTATTTTTCCACAGATTTTACTTTAGTTGCATTAATTAGTTTTTAAATTTTAATCCTTATTTACATTTGCCAGCAGTGTAAACTTTGAGAGGAAAGTTCATTTGGCACGAAGGTCTTCGTCAGTTAATTTATTCCATATCTTCTGTAACCATAGGCTAATTTTCTCCATTTTGAGTCCCTTATACTCCCCCTTCTGTCCAACCTAAGGCCTCATACCCAAAAATCGAATAGACTCGGAACTGGTGACTAGGACGGTCATTCATTCGACCAACCTTATACAGTTTTTTTCTTTTTTGTACTTTTTTTATACAAAGCCTAAGAAAAAATACACCTGAAAAAGACTTGCGTGCCAAATGAACTTTTCTCTCAAAGTTTACACTGCTGGCAAATGTAAATAAGGATTAAAATTTAAAAACTAATTAATGCAACTAAAGTAAAATCTGAGGAAAATTATCAATAAAATACTTTTTTCGCAAAATCTTTAAAGGACCCTTTTATTTCTCAAAAAAACCTGGGTAACAGTTATTCGTCGCCACGCTGTACATTTGTAAAGAATTGTAAACAACTATAAGTAATTGTAAATTATTGTAAATAATTGTAAACAATGTAATTATTGGTAAATAAGTAAATAATTTAAATTTTTTGTAATAAATTAACGTAAACAATTTTATTCAAGTTATTTTTGATTCTTATTTTGAAACATTTTGGGATACACACATATGTATGTATATACAGGGTGTCCCAGAAGTAACGTGCCAAACTTTAGGGGAAGGTAGGTGGGGGGGGTGCGCTTCCTGATAAACAAAAAATTTTCAGGTAAAAGTGTCACCGTTTTTGAAATATTTACATTTTTTCGAATTTTAAATAAGTAAATTTTTTATGTAAAATACTTCCAGATAGTTGCCTCTCCATACTCAAATGCAATGTAGTTAAAATATATTAAGGAACCATCATAAAATTAGGACTATTTCTGGATTTTTAACTTTTTGATATTTTCTTCCCCAACTTTGACTATCTCGGGTGAAAAAAAAATGTACTGAGCTATAACTTTAATAATAATAATATAATAGATTAGCGCTTACACATATGTTAGTGTTTGGCCGAGCTTCTCCTCCGATTTGTGGCGTGCGCCTTGATGTTGTCACACAAAGCGGAGGGACCTACAGTTTTACGCCGACTCCGAACGGCGATTGTATTTTTATGAGAAGCTGTTTTTCATGGCAGAAATACACTCGGGGGTTTGCCATTGCCTGCCGAGGGACGACCGCTGTTAAGAAAAAACCTTTTTTCTATATTTTTGCGATGTTGCTTTGACCAGGGTTTGAACCCAGGCATTGTGGAGTGGAAGCGCGCACTGCTTACCACTACACCACAGCGGCCGACTTTACATTACATAAAAAAATTGCTCATTTCATAAAGATTTCAGAAAGGTGCCACACTTACTGTTTCGAATAGAAAAAAAAGTTATAGCCGCTTTTGTGGGTAAAGGACTGAGACACGCTAGAATGTATTTAATAGATTTAAATTGAATTTGCTCTTGTTACCGTCAAATGACATGCTAAATAGTACAAAGGTACATTATTACCTGCTCCTGACATTATTTTGTGTTACTTACCGGAATTAGTGAAAGTGGATTTTGTGAAATTGGACCCTTCGAACATTGTGTTATTAATACTATGACAGAGAACACGCAGTATACGTCCCATGAATATGCGGACATTCACCTAATTTACGGTGAAGCTTGCTGTAATTCCAGAGCTGCTCAAAGACTCTATGCAGAGCGATACCCCAATCGTCGACATCCGGGTCGTGAAGTATTCGCCCGGACCCATAGATAAATATATGAAAATAAGTGATTTTTACACCTTTCTTGTTTGCTTGCTTGTTAACTATCATTTTTCAGTTTTTAAGGTCGCATACCTGGAAGGCGTGGCGGCGAAACAGGACGTCCTGCAACGGTGGATGTTGAAGCTGTGTTAGAGGAAGTGGAACTAGGTCCATCGACTTCAGTGAGAATGATGGAAAGACGGACGGGAATACCAAAAACTACAGTTCACAAAGCTTTACAAGACCATCGATTTCATCCATACCACATTCAACGTGTTCAGGCTCTACAAGAAAGAGATTACCTGTCGAGAGTTAGATTTTGCCGTGAAATGTTGCGAATGCATGCATCAGACCCCAACTTTTTTAATAAAATAATTTGGAGCGATGAATCATCATGCAAACATATTTTAATTTACATAACCTTCACAGTTGGCAGATAGACAATCCTCACGAAATGAGAGAAGATCGTTCGCAGTATCGGTACAAAATAAATTTATGGTGCGGTATTTTTAATTGTCAGATATTGGGACCTGTGGAACTGCCGCCAACGCTCAACTCTCACAGTTATTTAGAGTTCTTTCAGGAACGGCTTCCAACTCTTTTGAAAGATGTACCCTTAAACCTGCGGCGAAGACTATGGCTGCAAAATGACGGGTGCCCTGCTCACTACGGGCGAGAAGTAAGAGCTCATTTAGACGAAACTTATCCTCGCCGATGGATTGGACGATACGGGCCAATCACGTGGCCCGCTCGATCGCCAGACCTGAATCCATTCGATTTTTTCTACTGGGGCTGTCTTAGGGACAAAATTTATTCAAAAACAATTCAAAACGAAGAGCATTTGCGGGAACAAATAAATGGAGCTGCTGCTGAGATAGCCCAATTGAGTTTAAGATCTCTAAAAGCGTCTTTTCTTAAAAGGTGCCGAGCTTGTATTAGAGTAGACGGTCGCCAATTTGAGCATATTTTATAAATAAATGAATAAATTTTTCTTCAAACAACTCTTATATATATGTTATTTCACGTGAACCCATCTTTCACACAAAATATTGATAGATATAGCCCTTGTTATAGACTCTAGTCCGAATTCCGGAAAGTAACATAAAATAATGTCAGAAGCAAGTAATTATGTACCTTTGTACTATTTAGCTATAGCGATAGTAGAACTCCAAAGTAAAATTTTTGGTTCAAAAATAAATCCAGTTCTTGTAGAGCGCCTCCATCCAAATAACTAAACAAGCAGTCAGTGATATCTGCAGTGTTTTCTGCTTTTAAAAGCTTCCTGTCATAATAAGGATTTAGATAATATGCAGACAATGCATATATATTCAAAGCTTGTGAAATTCGCTTTTGGAAAAATCCCTTCAGTGTTTGATCTTCGGGAAGTTCAAGAGAAATCCATAAATAAACCCCATCAGCAATCGACGTAGACGTTGCCTGCACTTTATTCAACAATTCACAAACTGGATTAAGCAAAGAAATCATTTTTCCTACATCTTCCTCGAAAACGTCATCAAACAACAAATTTTTTACTTCCTGTTTGATTTTTTTCTACTGGTATCAGTTTCGGCAACTATACTTCGCATTATGTACAGATTTTTTTTTAAACAAGCAAAGCTGTCTCGATGCGAATACCAACGTGTTTCAGCAGGGATTTTAATTTTTGTGCCACCTTTTAACAAAATACATTTCTCCAGATCGGTGTGGCGGAACTCTTTTAAAACTATTGTCACTTTTCTAGCAAGTTCTTTGTCTACGATGTTTTTAGCTAGCAAATTAGCAACATGTGCACTGCAATCGCTATGCCAAATATCTACACCTCTACCCATTTTCAACATGTTTGCAGCATTATCCGACACTACAGCAAAAAAATTTGTGTCATAAAGTTCTTTAGCTTTTGTTATAGACACTTCCACAACCTCAGAGAGTTTATCTGCCGTCTCCTGCTCGCCCGATACGTCAAAAGCTTCTAAAAAAAGTTGTATGCCATTAATGTTATGGAGCATAGTAACCACCGTTTTGGTATTGCTAGCAGTATTCTTCCATCCATCAATAAGAATTACAGAATGACGATCAACATCTTCTTTCGCAGACCTTATGTGTTTTTCGTACTCCTTATCTAGCAGTGTTGTGGACAGCGCTTTTCTACCGGGCATTTTGGGTTCATAGGACGGTCTTAGTTTTCTGATTAACTCTCTATTGCATCTATTACGTTCAAAGGTATGTTGCATCCGCAAAAAAATCTTGCTACAAAAGAATTAAGTTCATCCTCCTCTTTACAGCTTATTTTGTCAAAAAAGTTTTTAATGCCGCCTTGCTTTTCTTCGGTGCTGCTTTTGGTGGTATTTTAAAGTTTTCCGTCGACATTGATAAGGATGAAGCTGATCCCGTTGGCGTTGTTGGTTGCGATGATGATGTTGCTGCAGCTGGAGTTAATTCAGTAGTTATAATAGTTATATTGTCGCTGGACGTATCCATGACCGAAGATCCAGAATTTTCTAGCTCCATAAATTGACTGCTGTCAAAGTGCTCTGGTTCATATATTATTGTGCACTCATCATCTAAATCATCAATTTTTAAGTTGCAACGTTTTCTAGAAAATAGCGATCGAGAAAAATTAAGTTATATGTATGTACATGTTTGCAGATACATATTGCACATACCGATGCTGTTTAAGTCTCTGTGTTGCTATATTTGAGACTGTTTTTTTGCAAAACAGACACAGAGCCGTATATTTTTTTCATCCTTTTGAACTTGAAAGTTCAGATCTTTCCAAATATTTCTTGTTGGAGCACCGGCTGAAGTCATTTTTATTTAAAACGCGACGAACAACCTAATAAATAAAATGGAAATCAGCTGGTTTGCTGACAATCAGAGTTGCATTATATAATTTACAATTGTTTACAATATTTTACAATTGTTTACAATAGTTTACAATATTTTACAATAATTTACAATATTTTACAATTATTTACAATGTAAGTGTAAAAAATGTGAAAACTTGTGTAAGTGCACAACCCTGGTTTTGACCCCTCCCCCATCACCCCCTGGATCCGAAACTGATCTTATATTTATATTCAGATACCCTAAAACTCTTATATAGTTGTCATATAAAGTTTACATTAGTATAAATTCCTGTTAATAATTACTTTTGAATTTTGAGATTGGACATACCGTCACTAAAATGCAAATATCTAAGCCAATTGGTTAGACTTGGTTATCGAGCTTACACTCTGCATTCGCGATGGTGTAAAGAGTAATACGCAAGTGGTTTTATAACGGCCTTCGGCGGCCTTTACTTTTCCTACTCTTTAATTTATTTTTTTATTGAATCAAAACGACGAATTTTCAATATACATTTGATTATACCAATGTGGACACAAATTTCGTTATGACCTCAGAATCTATAGCGCAATAAGTGTATTTTTTGGTTTATAAAGTCAATTTGCAATTATTCAAAGATTTGTGAGTACAATTAGCAATCTTTTAAGTTAAATTTTAGTTTTTAAAATAAAGTACTGAAATAGACGGCGTTGACTTACCTTTTTTTGTTTCCATTATGTTTATTGCTTTAATAAATGCCATTTATATTTGAATGTATTGTCAGGAATGTATTCGAAGTACCATTAAGTATTTTAAAAACAAATAAAATGTTGACTTTCGTCCAGCTAGATCTGTTATCCGAACCACTGTGCGATGTGCGCTTGGCGGCGGCTTAGAATATTATGACAAAATGGATACTCTTCGTACGGTCCGTTCGTTTCCTAGCGTCTGTCGATTGGTATGTTCAGTCTAATTGTATTGTGTTTTCCTGTTAAAGTCCTGTAGGTGTCGCGTCGTTGTCTTCAACTGTCTTGACAAGTGGAGGGATAGATGTCGCCCTACATATATGTATATATAAGCTATAAAAAGGGCAAAATTAAATAACGAAATAGGCTAGAAAAGGCAAATAAAATAGGGAAATAGGCAGGAAAAAGCACCAGAAATCGCAAAAAAGTTAAAATAAGGCACTAAAAAGAGACAAAAACCGAAAAATAATCAAAAAATACATTTATTTTGGAAATGTTTATCTTACGAGTAAAAAGAGAAAAGCTATGAATTAGTTTTATTATATGAAAAATTTGTTCTTTGAATCTATGACTCTTTTCTCCTTTCGAGTTCTTAACTCACAAAGCTTTAATCTCTATAGTTGTCGTAACATTGTACCACAAGATGCATTTTGAAGATTTCTGCCAGCATTTTCATTAGATTTTCGCGAAGAAAAGCCTTGAATGTTCTAAACGTGCGCTGACGTTAGTTGATACAAGTGGCCCCAATTTAAATATGGAACGTTTAAAACTTTAATATTTTTTCCTAACCATTTACAATAGAAGGTAGAAAAGGAAAAAAGGCAAACATCTTAAAAAAGGCAACATCAAATGTCCCTGGCAGCCACGGCTCCCCACTTTCCCCCATGATACAATAATTTTTAGAAGGTAGTTTCACTTCTTCTTCTTATCAGCCATGTTAGCTATCTGACAGAAAACGTGGTTGTAAGAAAACTTAATTTTTCTGAACCACCATAAATGATTTGCAACTCTTAATATATATCAAAAGAAAGGTAAACCGATTACCTTTCTATTGATTATAACACCGTTAAAATCGCTTTACGTTTTCATAAAAACTTTGCAACTTTTGTAAACAGCTATATATAAGCAGTGAAAAAGTGGTAAAATTTTGCAAAGTTGTAACGAAACTGAATGTTTGTGCACCATTACAAATGATTTGCAACTGTTAATATATATTAGAAGAAAGGTAAATCGATTACTTTTCTTTTGATTATAATATTGTTAAAATCGGTTAGCTATTTTATAGAAAATTTGCAACTTTTGAAAACATATGTAAGAAGTGAAAAAGTGGTAAAATTTTGCAAAGTTCTAGCAAAACTGAATTTTTATGAACCAGTACAAATGATTTGCAACTGTTAATATATATTAAAAGAAAGATAAATCGATTACTTTTCTCTTGTTTATAATATTGTTAAAATCGGTTAGCTATTTTATAGAAATTTTGCAACTTTTGAAAACATTATATGTAAGAAGTGAAAAAGTGGTAAAATTTTGCAAAGTTGTAACGAAACTGAATTTTTGTGCACCATTACAAATGATTTGGAACTGTTAATATATATTAAAAGAAAGGTAAATCGATTACTTTTCTTTTGATTATAATATTGTTAAAATCGGTTAGCTATTTTATAGAAATATTGCAACTTTTGAAAACATTATATGTAAGAAGTGAAAAAGTCACATTTTGCAAAGTTCTAACAAAACTGAATTTTTATGAACCAGTACAAATGATTTTCAACTGTCAATATATATTAAAAGAAAGGTAAATCGATTACCTTTCTTTTGATTATAATACTGTTAAAATCGCTTAACTTTTTTATAGAAAATCTCCAACTTTTGAAAACTGCTATATACAAAGGAGTAGTAGTAATAATAAGCAATTAAGCAGCCACATATATCTGTAAAAATATCTTTATTATTAATGTTAATTGTAATTTTTATTCATAATATTGATTACTAACTATGTATATTAGGTTAACAATGCATTTTGAAAAATAAATTTTGCAAAATAAAAAACAAAAAAATAATTTAAAGATTTTTTATTTAAAGTTTTTAAGGTTATTTTGACTTCGCTGTGAAGAGAATGCAACCCTGCGCCAGCTGAAGTGGGCAATGCTAGACGAGTGCAGCTATATGTTTTCCTTAGGAAGTATCTGAATGAGTGCGACAGTGATGCAAGGCTCACACGTACAGGGGGAAACTGGTGAAAATCTGCACACCGCCCATACAAAGTTCACCAGATTTTTCACCAGTTTTGAAGTGAACGAAACCCGCGGTTTCACCAGATTTTTCACCACTTTTGGCTGGCAGGGATGCTTTCCCCTAAAATTCAAACAATTTTCAAACACATTCACAACTTTTTAGTCATCTCACCCACACACTTACAAATTTTTTGTTCGAACTGTCAAAAAATGTCCCTTTGTTAGAGCTACATACCCGATAAGAATTCGTACTCTAACAAGAATTCTATGCGTTAGAGCGAGCAAGTTAGAAACATCGGAGTTTTGATGACAGTATACATACTGTGAAGAAATGTCACTACGAAAATTTTGAAGGTATTTAACAATTTTATTTAATTATAATATAGTTTCTTCTTTTAGATTCCAAAACAGCAGGGACTGAGTCACATTCTTAAGGTATGTATTGAGACTTTTTATATGTTTATAAATTTTAATTGATATTTTTGCTTGTTTACAGATTTGGGATTCACTATCAGCACCTTCAACGCTTGCATCTTCATCGCCAGGAGCACCATTAGAACCTTCTGCCCTCAGCTTCTTCATCGCCAGGGGCACCACCAGTACCTTCTACCCTCAGCTCCTTCATCGACGGGAGCACCATCAGTACCTTCCGCCCTCAGCACCTTCAACGCCAGGAGCACCTTCAAAGTGTAGGTCCAACTTGTCAAATTTTGCAAAGTTGTAAGAAAACTTAATTTTTCTGAACCACCATAAATGATTTGCTACTGTTAATATTTATCAAAAGAAAGGTAAACCGATTACCTTTCTTTTGATTATAACACCGTTAAAATTGCTTTACGTTTTCATAAAAACGTTGCAACTTTTGTAAACAGCTATATATAAGCAGTGGAAAAGTGGTAAAATTTTGCAAAGTTGTAACAAAACAGATTTTTTGTGAACTAGTGTAAATGATTTGCTACTGTTAATATATATCAAAAGAAAGGTAAACCGATTACCTTTCTTTTGATTATAATATTGTTAAAACCGCTTAACTTTTTTATAGAAATTTTGCAACTTTTGAAACCGTCTATATATAAGTCGAAAAAACGCAATCAAATTTTGCAAAGCTGTAATGAAACTGAATTTTTGTGAACCATTATAAATGATTTGCAACTTTTAATATATATCAAAAGAAAGATAAATCGATTACCTTTCTTTTGATTATATTATTATTAAAATCGCTTAACTTTCTTATAGAAATTTTCCAACTTTTTAAACATCTATGTGCAAATGAGTAATACTAATAATAAGAAATTAAGCCAGCGCATATGTATGTATGTAAAAATATATTTATTAATGTTAATTACAAGTTTTATTCATAATATTGGTTATTAAGTATGTATATTATGCATTTTGAAAATAAATTTTGCAAAATAAAAAACCAAAACATTTTAGGATTTTTTATTTAAAGTTTCTAAGGTTATTTTGAATTCGCTGTGAAGAGAATGCAACCCTGAGCCGGCAGAAGGGGGCAATGCTAGACGAGTGCAGCTATATGTTTTCCTTACGAAGTATCTGAATGAGTGCGACAGTGATGCAAGGCTCACACTTACAGGGGGAAAGTGGTGACAATCTGCACACCGCCCATACAAATGTCACCAGTTTTGAAGTGACCGAAACCCGCGGTCTCACCAGATTTTTCACCACTTTTGGCTGGCAGGGGTGTATATATGGAATCAGGGAAAGATAAAGCATGGACATTGTTAATCGAATATACTCAATAACGTTAGTAGCAAAAAAGGCAATTTCTATAAAATCCGTTCCCTGCTTATTACAATAGATTCGTTCGTTTTGGAAAGAAGAACATTTTCATCGTTTCATTTTAACATTATGAAGTGTGTAACTTAAATTATGAGAATTAAACAAATTTTAAAATTCAAAAAATTACAAAACAGCTACGCCAGATATTCTACATGCTGCCTTTTTTTTAATTTTGTGTTGCACTCTTGAAACTTCACAGATGTATTTGATGCCAACGCCCATTTCCTCAAACAAGA